GAAGTACATGATCAAAATGTTCACCGCGAACGTCTTGGCAACATTCTAATCTCAAATAAAACTCTCTTCTAACATTATTCAACATACCAGGCGTGACCGACGTAATTGAGAAATGTATCGAGGTATTGCCGGACATAAACTTGATAATGTGGTGGTGCTCCATCTTGCTGAAATCATAATATCGTATTCACTGGAACTTGAGGGTTTCCTGGATCAGGATGTAAATTTGCTAAAATTGAAATGACATCATTCTGAAGTAGTGTCAAATCACAACACAACAAAAAATATTTTTTTAATGTTTCCTACACTAAATTAGTCAATCTCTACTAATTTTGGGGTGATATAAACGAAAATAAAAATGAAAAATTTTTATTAGCTCTGGTTTTTGAGATACACAGTACTTAATCTTAAAGAGTAGTTATACTATACGTGAAAAGTGAATTCAACCCTAAATGGAATGACAACAATTAGAGCATCAAAAGTAGAACAATTACTCATAAATGAATTCGATGAACATCAGGTATGTAATTCAATTTGAAACAATAACAAATGTCCATAATGAAAAGAGAAATGGAAATTTCTATGTTTTCTATGTATTTGTAACTAACATTACAAATAACTCAACTCAAGTATCCCAAACGTAACTAACGTTTTACGTTAGGCTATATCCATCAATTTATACAAATGTTCATATTTGAATTTTCAACTGTTCGAGTGCAAATCAATTGACTCTCAATATACCCTGGATCGCACTTGAAATTCCAGCGACATTACAGCTTTTATATTAATAAAAATTCATGTCAAAAAATGCAAATGAATCAGAGGTTATTTTTATCGTGTGGATATTATTTCAGAATCCTACTGAAAAAATTATAGGTAACAAATGTAACTGTAAATGATGAAAAAATTATTCTTACGTCAATTTATAGACCACCATCTACTGATATTAGAGAGTTTTTAGATAGTCTTGGGCGGTATTTAGTGGCATCAAAATTTCTTACTGATTATCATTTCATTTTGGGTGACATTAACATTAACATATTAGATGAGGATGATCAGTTGGTGTCTGACTATTTGAANCAAAGTTGCGAATTATGTTCGCGTTTCCAAACAGGCGGATGGCTTTTTTCTAGATGGAATCCAGGGTATGCTAAGGGCTCCGCCTCCATACATGAAAACAATACTCATCAGGACTAGACGCCTTGTTGATATCGAGCTGTTTCAAAATTCATCTGACTAGACGTTGTCGAAACATAATTCGCGGCATTGTTGATTCTAACATGGGAATAGTGGGTGGTGCCTTTCCCAGAAAATCGACTGTGGAGTGAAACGCAAAATGTTCAGCTCGTAGATTTGCTTCCTCAATGACTGTTATTGCAATTGAACCATTCGCTTGTGTTAGTAGTGGTGTTACAGTTCTCTTTATTGTGCATGTCCTTAAATGTTAAAACCTTGATAATATTATGGTCGAAGCAAATTTCTTTTGTTTTTTTTTTTATTTTTCAATTGTTCTTGTATTCAAATATTTCGCGCTGATGAAATGACTTCCACGATTCTACACATGCGCGAGATGGAGCAGAGAAGTCAGTCTTGAATTGACCACCGCAAAGGGACGAAGTTGTTTTTTCGTTCGTGAATACCCGCTTATTGTAATACCCACTTATTATCTACGTTTTGCAAGTTTGAAAGCCTTCCAGAAACTGACGAAGACGCTCCGAACGGTTTCATGAGGTAGGTGGAAGTCTTTCCCGATTTTTAACTTAATTAATTTTTTTGAGTTTAAAAATAAAGTCAAGTTTACTATTTTCTGAACCAGCACTTTGCTGTCCATTACCACAACAAGTGGAATTGTGTATTCTGTAAAGTTTTGATTAACATCGCAGCTACCGTCAAAAGCATCTAGATTGGCGAGCAGTTTATTTATAATTCTACGATTATGACGTTCTTTGCTCTCATTCATTCTAAGTTTGCAGCTTTCGATACTGAGATTCATACGCCACTGCCAATAGGTGATATTTTTGGAGGCGACAGCTTGCTCACAATTCTGGTTGAACCAAGGTTTGCCGTTAGGAGTTCGTTCAGTTGAAAAAGGAATATATGCATTCATGGATGATAGAATAACTTTCATGACTTCAGAAGCACAAGTTGATGAATCATTGGAGCTGAAATGTACATCTAGACATGAAAAATCTTGGAAATTGTTTCGAAGATCCTTCCACTCAGCAGATCTGAAATGCCAAACTTTGCGCTGCTTAGATTGTTTCCTAATATTCATCGGTAATTTACCCAACACTGAAATTAATTTGTGGTTAGAAGATCCCAGTAGAGACTTCACGCTGACTGTTGATTTCTGTATTGGTTGTTAGATTTAAATCCAGAAGACTAGCATATTCTTCATTACGGTCAGGAATCCTGACCGTTATAATGGCTCATTATGGATGAGCCATTATAATCTGAGTGAGTCCGTTGCTCATTTCAGGAGCTTCAACTTCGCGACCTTGTTTGTCGTTGAAATTTAAGTCATTTTATATTGTGTACATTGAAATCACCGAATATGGAAATTTCGACACTAGGATGATTGATTTGCAGAAAGTCAATAGTGTTTACAAATGAAGAGATTGTAAACACGCAGCATATGAATTTCAAACCACTTAACATCAAAGTTTTGGGGTTCCGGCATTTCCTCTCGTTGAGAGGAGAGATCGCTCCTGGTAAAAAAAAATCGAAGTCATGGCTGAATCAAAAATGAAAATCACAGCCGGAATATAGGAAATTGATGGTATTTGTTGAAGCACTGACTTTGAATTTTGTGAGTGCAAGAATATGAGGACTATTTGTTTGAAGATGTTGGTGCACTGAGTCCTCTGATGTTGCAGAAATCAATTTTGAAGTTGCTAGTGAGCCACTTAGCGAATAATAATAATAATAATAAATGGTCTTTATTTTACGTGGCGAAGTTTAGCAAAGCGCTATTCTTCCACTCAACCACGTTTGAAAAAAAAAAGAAACGATACAAAAAATAAATGGCAATTTCAGGACAATGGTAATATTATGTTTGGATCACTGTTGGCTGAGCAATTCGGTTTTAAGTGTACTTTTAAATAGCGGTAATGATGAATTTTTCAAAGATTCACTGTTACAGCATGATACGTAAAGGATCGTTCATAGATAGTGCTGTTATGATTCGGAATGACAAAACTATTGTTGAATCTAAGGTTTTTCGAGTGTATCTGATGTCTGGAAAGGAGTTTGTTTACCAAATAAGTGTGTTGTTGTGTTTTTATCAGTTTGTGAATGAAACAGGCGAAATGCAATTCTCTTCTGTTTTGCATTTTTAACGAATTACGTTGATTGATGGAAGGGGTCACATGATCTCTGTAATTCAAGCTGAATATTAGTCTAATGCAGACTTTCTGTACTTTCTGATTTCTTGTAGAAGTTATGGAATCGATACAAGGGCCATAGACGACATCGCAACGACCTTTGAATGAGAGTATTGACTTGATGAACAAATCTGAGGTTGTAGTCCTTAACATTTTATTTTGTGAGTCAATTCCACAGAATGTCCATCAATATACAAACTGAAATTATCTATGGCCTTTCCACGATCTTTGGCTTTTCCAAAAATTATTGAAGGTGATTTACTAGGATTAAGGTTGAGACAGTGTTGCTGCGAAATCTGAACAAGATTTTTTATATCATTATTGAGCGGTGTTTCGTAATACAAGTTAGTGTCGTCTGCATATGTATGAATGTTGAATAACTTAAGGACCTTGGCGAAGCCGAATGTGTAGATAATAAAGAATATAATACCTGGAAATTTCTACTTCTCGACGTGTATCGAAAGAAAAATACCTGGAATTGGGGATTTGTTCACGAGTTAATTTTTGTTGATTTTGAAAAGTAAAAGGATTTTTCGTTACCGTCAATCATCTAAAGAAAGCTAAATATGGAAATGCAATTTTTTGATTATTCAATTTGTAGACAAAATCAATGAATACGACAAATTACTGACTAACCGAACTCTCAAGTTTGCCCTTCATCACACTTCAGCAGATTTTTGTATCTAGCGTAATTCATTGTTCAGATTGAGGAGAGTTATTCAACCAAAAAACAGTAAAAATCATTGACACCTACACAAAAAATGTCTCCCATTGAATAACAACAAACTCATAATCAACGTTCAGAACTTCAAAAATACACGACTTCAAGAACATTATCAAGAAAAAATTGGCAGTTTTGTGTAGCAGACACTTCAGCAGATTTTTGTATCTAGCGTAATTCATTGTTCAGATTGAGGAGAGTTATTCAACCAAAAAACAGTAAAAATCATTGACACCTACACAAAAAATGTCTCCCATTGAATAACAACAAACTCATAATCAACGTTCAGAACTTCAAAAATACACGACTTCAAGAACATTATCAAGAAAAAATTGGCAGTTTTGTGTAGCTGGCGGATTACTACACATATTATCAAGAAAAAATTCAGAGTTCTTTGCAGCTAGCGAATTACTCCAGTCTCCACGTTTGCCACACAAAACTTCATTTTTTCTTCTGATGAAACAATATACTAAACTACTAAATAGCGAATGAGTTCGAGAATGTATTTTTTCTGTAATTTTGCCAAGATATACCACATTCCATTGAACTGAAGCGATTTTTTTTGCTTTTGGAACAAAAAATGTTGGAACAAGTTTACATGAATAATCCAAAATCTCTTCGTGAACACATTTGGTCTCGACTCATATTCTTCATTTGTGTTCATAATGAGTGAATTTGAACCGATTATGTCAACTTGTTTTCAAATAGATATTTTTCTGAAAAATAGTAAAGTACATTCATCGTTTATCGTGAAAAATTAGTCAGTGGTCGTTGAATTGAAGAGAAAACTTCATATTGACTTTTGAAGTTTCAATTGAATACAAATAACTAGAAAATAATGTATCAAACCTTCTGTATATCAACTACTGATATTTTTAATACTCGTATACTTTCAGATAGCACTCACCTTAGCTGGAATCTTGATCAACATTGCAATTTCCAACCCATTCATGATTGTAGTAATAATAGTATTGGGATGTGGTTTTTTGAAAATAAGCCAATTGTATATTTCAACAGCAGCGGCCGTCAAGCGACTTGAATCTACAGGTAACTCAAGAGTACATGAAATGTAAACTAAATTGCCGCCTTAATATCACTGCTAACAGAACCAAACAACTTGAAAGTTGTAATTTCAAATAGAGTGAAATTTTTTTATATTCCAGCATCATGTTTTGACATTATTTCAAATTCAAATACCTTCAATCTATGATCCTAATATCACAAAAGGAAAAAGAATACAATGGAATAGAATATTATTTATTTCCTCAAGACAGTACAATCTGTATGGAAAATGACAAATGTCACAACTACACAAATGAAAGTGATAGCGATAAAATAATAATATAGAAATATAACACCTGGGTTTCTAATGAACTCCAAAGAATTTTATTGAAAATTTGTCACTGGTGGAACTTATGGTAATGATAAACCAATTATCAAATATTATTTTCAGGTATTAGTTGAGGTATATTTAGTTTTTCATTCTGAAACAACCACACTAAAACAATCAGTGATGCTAGGTTATATTCATGCTTGAGAGGAGATTTTTTGTCGAAAAAAAAGTATATTGATGCAAGGAATATAAAAAAAACGTATGCGTTTCGGGATCCACGACAGAAGTGATAATTTGAACTAATCTAGGTGAACTACTCAATATTGAAATTGATCAACTTGAGAAAATCAGATTATTACTTGAGTTTTTTCAAAGGAAAGGTTATTTATTAATAAAATATTTTATCGATCATTTGTGTATGTAGGTACATATATTATAGCTACCATAAGCCATTTGTTTGAAGGTGATTGACAATGTTCCATGATGAAATGATGAATTTCATTAGTTCGGACTTCCATTGTCTGATATTATATAAAATGATTTGAAATCCCTGAAAGAACTGAAAAAGAAGGAATTAAAAAATGAAAAGCTGAAAAATAACAATTATATTGAGCAGAAAAACCTGAAATGACATAATAGTGAAATAGAATACAAGTAAAAATGAAACAATTGTAAAAATAAAACAATTGGTGACATGGTTTTTGTGAGGCTGCTACGGTTAGTGTTACTGGATCTAAAGCAGGTTCTGATGTTGAACTTGGAACCAATTCTCCTTATCCTCTCCGATACTATCCTCTGATGTAGGAAGGTGCAAGCACTAGTTGTGAAGGCTTCTCGTCCTTGTGAGGCTCCTGCTGTCTTTTAGTCAAAGTCTTTTCAACCATCGCTTCGGAGTAGCCATTTCGTTGAATCTCATTTTTGATGATGTCTAGTTCGTTCTCGAGACCTTGCTTCGTATTACACAGCCCGAAAGCACGGTCTAATAGAGTATTGATGATTCATCTTTTAGTCGATTGATGGTGGTTGGATTCGTAGTTCAGATATTGTCACGTGTGAGTGGGTTTTTGGTATACAGATGTTTCCCACTTAGTGTCGGTCCTCTTCACCAATACGTCTCAGAATGGCAATTCGTTGTGGATTTCCTTCTCCATTGTGAAAGTGATGGAAGGTTTCACGCTGTTGATGTGTATGATTTGGAGTGCTTCTTCGACCGGAACGTTGGTGTGAAGGCTTTACAAGTCGAATCTAATTAGTTGATCTTCCTGTGTGACTTCAATTGACTCTAGTAGTTCGACGAAATGCCTTGAATACTTCACAAAAGACGATGTTTTTCTTTGTAATGGTTGTATTATGGGAAGTAAAAATCTAGACAAGTTTTGAGTATCCGAATCTCTGGAGGTGATGATCGGTTTAGGCGGAACGTACATCATTCAGGTTCATGTAATAAAATTTAAAATTCAACAATAAAATCCCTAGATATTGCCCGCTTCAACATGAACAGGGTATTTTGACAATTGGGGCAAATTTGCGGAACCGCAAAAATATTATCGCAATCGTTCTAATATGAACTCGCCTTAAGTTTCGTTTGTTTCAACGCGGAAAGTTCTTATTTTCAGAAATTTCTGTATGTTAGCGAAGTAGTGACCGCTAATTTTTCATGAGTCTAGTATTCCCATCATACGGTGTTGCTATGCAGCATCAAATGCCCATTTGATATCAATAAATAAGGCCAAATATTTTGTGTTTTACTGCTAGTGTTTCATGAATATCGCTTTCTGAATCCAGGATGTTGTCATTAGCAGATCGTTGTTGTCTACAACCGCTCTACTCGTGGGTCAGTAGTTTACGGTGTTCAAGGGTCTAGAACAGTCCTTTGGTAATGATCTCCTCTAGGATTTTACACATCACACATGTGAGAGAGATCGGTCTATATGAGTAAGAGTTTATTTTTGGCTTACGTGATTTGAGGATGGAAACAATTATCACCTCTCACCATGCCGAAGAAGATTTGTGTTCTATCCAAATTATGTAGTATATGCGCAAAAGACGTGCATGTGAATTATGTGGGAGATTCCTCCTGGAAATTACTGGGATCTCATCGAGGCCGTGCCTTGTATTATTGAAGATTAATAGAGCATCTTCGAATTCTCCTCCACTCATAAGAATGTTCAAGGGGTCTTCATAGTCTATGAAGATGGGTATTTCAACTATTTCTTCATCACGTTTTTTTTGCCGAAAATGATTCGTCATAATGGGAGGCACATGAGAGATTCATCGATATTGTCAATTATTTCACATGTTGCTGTATCTTTCTCTATTGTGGTTGCAAATAGTTTCCAGTCAGCTGATTTGATTTTCCATTTTGGAATCGGATTATCCGATTGTTGACTTCTCAGTTGTTGGATATCACTATAGGATTGTGATCACTGTTATAGTTGGAACATAGAGCTTCACATGTTAGTAGAGGAGTGAGAGTGTGGTCACACATCGTGAGGTTCAAGACGCAGCCGGTGTGCGTATTGAATCTGGTTCTGTTTCCATTATTAAATCCGGACAGATTGACGTGGTTGATTAGTTCGTCGATCGTCCCACCTCTACTATTGGTGGAAAGGAGACCCCATATGACATTTTAGCCGTTAAAATCTCCGACGTGGTTGAAGAATTTGTTCTATCAAGCTCAGAAGATCCAAGATATCATGTGTTTTGTTTGGTGGAAGATATATATTGCAGATAGAAATGTTGTTTCCTTCCAATGTTACAGTAATAGCTTCCAAATTAGTTTCCATGTCGATGAGTTTCACTTGAATTTTTTCTTGGATAAATATAGTTACGCCACCACTTGTCCCGTCCTGAACGTCTCTGTTTTAGAGAAAGAGTTGAAAATTTCTCAAACTCAGTATTTCATCATTTCTGAAGTGAGTTTTTTGTAAACAGATCACGAACACTACTAAAACATTTCTAATGCGCTCTGAGATCGGTGCCTGTGCCAAAGTAGCGATCCACTTTCGATTTGAGTTGCTGGAGATTAAATCCATACGGCAAAATGTTCTCAGGAAGTTTATCCCACATAAACGTAGTTTTCCAAATGAAAGAGTCCTTAATCAGTGAAGTTCGAGGTGTACTGAGTTGAACCTCAAAACGATGAGCAGCCACGATCCGTCGTGTATTGCTGATACGTACCACTCTTGGTGGAATCAAATATGGCAAGTCACTTGAACACTTCCCGTGAAAGTATCTATAGTATAGAGGCAAATCTCCAACTTTTCTTCGATGTTCCAGACTATCAAGGTTGCAAGTGATTTTCGCGTCTCCAATCAGGCAAATGTTTTTTTTCAGGGTATGTTCAGGGGCGGACCTTCATACATGAGAACAATATTCCAAAGAAGGTCTGCTCTGAGCTTTATAAAGCATCAAAAGTTGCTGAGGTGTGTACAGTTTTCTGGTTCGGAACAGTGTTCCAATATTTTGAGAAGCAATCTTTGCAATTCCAGCGACATGGTTGTGTCAAGACATATTGGTGGTCATTCAACGTGAAGTACCAGCATTCAATAGTATGATTTATGAACTATTGAATATTCCACTTTCAGAAAGCAATTGGGATAATAGAAATATTGAAAATGTCCCTATGGTATGAAAATGCAGTAACGTTAACTACAAATAGAAGTGGTAAAAAAACATGGGAAGTTTCATTCCCCATTCCTCAATCCTCATGATGATATCCTACCACGTAGTAACTGCTACATCCATCAAGTCATCAAATATATAATGAATATTTCTTCATTACAGCGAAATCTCCAGTTTTCTCCCACATCAATTCAACCCTAAATGGAATGACAACAATTAGAGCATCAAAAGTAGAACAATTACTCATAAATGAATTCGATGAACATCAGGTATGTAATTCAATTATTGTTTATTATTATTTTTATTAACTACTACATACAAAAGTTTTATTTACTGTCTAGATTATTTCTTCTGTATTTCTTTTTTGTTTGTTGCTATAGTTTATTTCATGAAATACGTATATTTTTTAATCGAAAATTTTGGCAGTTTCATCGCATACAAGCTCTGCTTTCGCGATGTTCTGTGTTGGTGTTCATTTGTATTATTATTAAAATGTACATGATTTTATGAAAGAAAATATCTGTTTGTGTTTGATAAACTCAAATACTACTTGACCAATTTCAAAAAGGTTTTCAATTATAAAAAGCTACATCATTAATTTTGTTTCAGAAAATTGAAGATTCATACAAAAATTGTAATAATGTATTTCAATTCCAAAGTATGGAAATTTGTTCTAAAAACGTTAATTACTTGCCTGCGCATCACATCAATCCTAAAGCGGCATGGCACAATTCCTGCGTTAGAGTAGCTTCAGAAGTCATAACCTCAAACTTGCGTGAGAATTTCGGGTTGCCTTCAATATCTTCAATAAATGTTTCCACTGCCTGTATTATTATTCTTATTCATCAGAAGAATAAAACAATTCGTTAAAAAAAGAAGCCTGTAATGAAAATTGCACTGGTCAATCCATTTCAGGTATTTTTATACGTTATCTATACCAATTTCAGTTTATAAATATTAACGTTTTGACAGTTTTGATTTCATTTTCATTCGGATTGCATTTATCAGTAACATTAGTTCCACTGCAAATAACTGAATTCAAGGAAAAGGAAATGAACTAAGGAAGTGAACAATATATAATGCAAAATCCGAAACTCAATTTGAAATTTTCGAACAGGAAAAATTATGTCGATAAACATGCATAGTATATTTTTGGAAATATGTATCTGTGAAAGTCGAGAATTTTCAATCAGTATTGAACTTTTGCCAGTGTTTGTTGTTTCTTCCAATTCTTTTTGAATTCGAATAACTGAAACTATTCATTATCACTAACCCATATCTATTCGAATAAAAAATATCAGCTCCTGAAAGTTGTTTTTCATTTTTTCAGGACGTTCACACTTCGGCCTGGTATTTGACATTATCCTGCTCATATAGTTTTGGTCTTTGGTTCGATCTGGTGTGCATAATATTGACTGCATGTGTTTCATTCAGTTTTGTTGTAATTCATACAAGTAAGTAAATTTTATGGAATGTTATGATAAAGATCAGGTATTTCTTGGTTTACTCCAAAGACATTTTCAAATAACAGGAATTGAGTGATTCCAAACTATTGAATGGGTAAGGTATAAATAATACTAACAAATACCAATACTAACATTCAGTGCTAAGACATGTTTCAACACCCTGTGTCATCTTCTAAGTGAGTTTGTTAACTCGCTCAGAATATGACACGGGTTATAAATGATTATTTTGCTTATATCAAATGCCGAAAGTGTAGAACAAATTTCCAAACTATTTTGAAATTATCTACTTATCGTATGAGTATTCATTTCAGTTGATCTAGGTTACATAAAAATTATAGCATTCGAAAGTTTGGCAAGTACGATTGGAAAAGTTAACATCATCAAAAGTCAACTTAAACTCATTCCTCACGGAGAAGTGACAGCCTCTTATATACATATGGATGAAGCAATACTTTTGAAAATGAGGATTCATAGAAGTCTCCTTGGCGCTCTGTTGCAAAGCCATGCTTCGACATCAACTATGGAACATGACTCGATCTTTGTCTTTTTCTGTGGCTTTTACTGCAAAGTAACTGGTTCTGATCAGAGCTCAAAAACTAGTCATCCATGATCCAACACCAAATAGCGCTGTTTTGCGCCACCATTAATCTCATTGATGGTGCTAGGTTGAACTACGAATATAATGCTCAACTCAGTTGTCCTCAAATGACAAGCCTGACCGAGAAAATGGAGTGACACTCCTCACGAAGACATAATTTCTGGTTCGAATGGAGACTTAGTCTACGAGTATCAAAGATAAACGTGATTTTCATAATTGATCTGTTGCAGAGCCAAGCTTCGATATATCAACCACCATACGAGATTCTTTGTTTTTCTCTGCAGCATCAACTGCAAGGCAACTGCATGGTTACAACCAGAGCCCAAAAACGGAGCCCCCATCATCTAATACCAGGCAGCGCTGTTTGGATTCGCCTTAGGACTCAGCACTGGAGTAGAAGAAATATTCATGAATAGTCTTTCAATGAAAATGACAAAACACTCAATCCACGAATATAAAAAATAAGCAAGGCTTCTAAAGACCAAGATTCGTGTTCAACTGTCAAATGATACCCGTCCCTGATATATCCCTGCAGCATCTACTGTGGGTCAGATTGAACGACTTGGAATTATTTCACGCCAGAGGTTTTAGTTTATCCTTTCATTTTTTATTAGATTCTTTCATTGAATTGAAAGGAGATATCCATGATACAATTTCAGAAATGGTACTTTCTTGAAATTTCAGTTCTCCAACACCAGTTCTGCGACACTCTCGTCATACATTTCAGTTCAGTCTACTCCATCTTCTGAAGAAAGCAACTTGTTGGATAAAACACACACATATAGAAAAGTGTTATACAGGGTGTCCCTGGACTTCCTCTTTTCCTCTCGGGAATGTATAGATGGGGTCAAAATATCACCAGTACTTCATATAACTTTTTTTCCTAAAAGTCTTCGTAACCAAGTTACGGGCCCTCGAAGTTACAAAATGAAAAATGTTTTTCTTTGATAACTTTTCAAGTGAATATTCAAAATCATC